TGTGCTAATTTGGGATATTGTGCAATGTTTGTGTTAATGCAAAAAGTAAAAACGCACAACTGTTGAAATTTTTCGCGTACTTCTCAATGGCGCGCCGAGGCAATGTTATACCGCTTGCACTTTGACCTCAATATGGCGGCGGGACGTTCCGATCTCACTTATGATTAAATATAAACTGCAGGGATATGCTTTTATTCAAGTCAAAATTTCTAGTGTGACTACATCAATCTATTGTGAAGTATCATGACTTCATACGTGTATGCAGGTAGTTCGCATTAAATTAGATTTTGGCTGCACTTATTCATGTTTGCCTCACTTTCACATTCACACATGTATTTGTGGTTATGTGTTAAACACTAACATTTTTGTTTGTTATTCCCAATTGCAATGTTGCTGCATGCGATTTCAGAACGGCTCTCGATTTCTTGCAGAAAACGTTTTGCATTCATGAATGCTTTCGTCAGTTTGTATATTTATGTTTTATGTTACAGTGCTGGCTGAAGATGCGATCAAGGCTGCCTTAAATGACTACAAAGTAAAGAAAGAAAACAAAAATAAAGTGCAGTGACGCTATAGTCGCTTTGAATCGGTACGCAGCTATGAGTATGCTTGCTTATCAGTGAATTTATTTACGGAATATGTAGCAGTTGTGTGAACTGTACAAAAGCTGCTGCTTGGTTATAGTACTGGTGGTATCTAAACTTTCTTCTAGTATATGTTGTCAGGTTTCAGGGATACGCTTATAAATTGCTTGTCGACTTTATTAGATAGTTTCAAACCTAACGTATTTTTGAGTAGTTTTACCAAAAACTGCAGCCCAGATGGAAATCTTGTTCAAGCCATATGTTATAATATGTTATCAGTCTATGCAAGTCTAATAAAATTGCTGTATCGTAATGTTAGACATTCTCGTCCACCACACTTGTTATTTGAAATTAGATTTGAACGATGGAGTTGTGAGATCTCATTATTTTGCTTAGAAAAGATAGGTGTAATTGTCACAAGTTTGTGTTGGAATTTGTATGAAAGTGAATTGTGTAATTCTAAATGAAAACCTACTTTTTACACCCATTTTTCAGGTTTACACAAAGGTGTCATCGTAATAGCACTTCAGCTGGTTGGCATGAGAATATTATCACTCATTTTAAATCTCGTTTTTTTAATATTTAGTGAGCATTGATAACTTCAGAGCTAGAGAGTTTTTGCCAGCACTTTACAGTATATACATTGCCTGCCCACAGGTTTACTAGTATCAATATATAAGTGAGCATAATTGAATAAGTGACGGTTAAGTGAATATTGAGTGTGTAGTGAAGTAGGTGGTTGATGATTTTCTAGCGTGCTTCTGGGACAATTGGTATTTGGCAACTTGCAGGTCTCAAAGCATAGTAAATATATATTTTTTGGTAGTTCATATAATTGTACATAATGTTGCTGTTGCAGTGTCATCACGCATGTGGCAGTTTAATAAATTTTGAGTACTTGCAACCAAACTAGCTCACCTTTCTTGCATAATTAATTCAACTCCATGACAAAAGAAAAACATCAGCGTTACTATATTTTTTTTATAATGACCGTAAATATATTTAATTACAAGCCCTATAGCAAATTTAACACTGAGGATAATGTCATCCAAACCATACGTGACATTTCCCTTAAATTATAACATACTTTCCAGGACCTAGTGTGAGAAAATAGGCAACCAGAAAGTGTCAACATGGGGGAGGGGGGGCAAACACGAGTATTGTCAAGATGTGAGAGCAAAAAAACGTGAACACCAAAATAACTTGCCTGCTTGCATATAAATATTATTAAACCGTATGCACGTAGGATGAATGAGTGCATATGCACATGAGAGTACTATACGGTGAAGGATATTACGCATCTAACGACATGAATCACTGACGTATAACATGTCCAGGACAATCAACACTTTGTAGAGCCACTGAACAACATTAAATGTGGTTATTACCATTTGTGCATGTACTTAACTCCCAAAAACGAAATAATTGCAAGCAGGACAAATAAATCGCTAATATTTTACAATACTAACCTAATACTGTCTTGCAAAACATTAGCTCTCTTTAGCTGCACACATTGCTTGTATTATTTTTGCTCTAACAACTGACAAATTCCATCAATGAGAAACGGTCCTTGAAGTTCAATAGGTGAAAGTGTGTGTAATCGACACCGGGTTATTTTAAGATAAAAACTTTGTAGCAAAACATTGCCTTTGTGTGGTTTAATCATGTGAGAAAGTGAGTACCTCTTTAATCAGGAACTGAAACTGCTGATTAAATTACTAGGTGGCAGCAGGATCATGCAATTCCTCTTTTCTGCATTTCCTGTAAAATAAAAATCAAGTTGTGTAACCTGACAAAAAAGAAACCATGCGATAATGAAAAACACATCATACTGAATGATTGACTTCGAGTACTTGGCAGCAACAGAGAGGATACTCACGATCAGCTGTCGATCATAATACGATGTTTGCTTTACACACTTACCTCTTTCATAGCAGAGCCCATCTGAGCTGGGGATGAGGTGACGACGACACCAGCATCCTGTAGTGCCTGAATCTTCTCCTTAGCACCACCCTTGCCACCAGCAATGATCGCTCCAGCATGACCCATCCTCCTGCCAGGGGGCGCTGTCACACCAGCAATGAACGACACGACAGGCTTTGCATTTTCACCCTAGACGAAAGAGATATAGCCTAAATTATACACATACTTCAACACAAGCGGCAACTTTAGAACGGTTTAAAATCAAACAATCATACGTGCAGATAAGACATCTTGATTTATAAAATTATCTATGTTACCGTTTAGTGACACCGTTGATGTAGACATTACTACATTCACTACACAGATTCTCAATAAATAATCCAAGACTCACAGTATTGTGTTTCTTTAGAAAATCTGCTGCTCTTTCCTCGGCCGCACCTCCCACAGGCACTTGAAGCATATCAACAGTAAACATACGCCGCCGCCATCGCGCGTACACTGACACATATATATTAAGTACACTTAATATAATATAGTACATATATATTATATACTTATATATTATATTACACTTAATATATATGTGTCAGTGTACGCGCGATGGCGGCGGCGTATGTTTACTGTTGATATGCTTCAAGTGCCTGTGGCACCGCCTATCTCACCGATCATTACAATACCTGAGGCAGCACATAGAAACGGTAGCTTTCAGTTTATTAATTATCACATAACATCCACAGAAAAAATGTGAAACAATTTTAAAAGCGGTGGTAGAGATGATAACATTAACTTTAGAATATTAGATTGATGAAAGTCAGATTGGGTATCAGCAGTGGGTGATGCATGCATTATCACACACGGTCATGAGCTCACACACACACCTTTCCCATCTACAGTACTTGCCTTCTGTCTCCGGATCGTTCATAAACACCTCCAGGCAGTCCACAAAGTTGGTGCCGTTGAAAGGGTCGCCGCCGATGCCGACGCACAAGGTTTGTCCGAGGTCGCACTGCGTCGTCTGATGCACAGCCTCGTAGGTGAGCGTGCCGGATCGCGACACGATGCCGATCCTACCGGGCCGGTGAATGTGTCCAGGCATGATGCCGATCTTACACTGTCCGGGCTGAAACACCAGGTAAAGGAATTGACGTCCAAGTTCCCTGCGTAAATGTGCAAGCGACAACTGTGCTGAAACAGTGTTAACGTATGACTGCAAAAGCTGTAATGGGATATATATATATTTGTTACTAAATGATTTTCAGTAGAACAAATAAGCGTGCGAATAATGAGCGTATAGCACAGTTTCGACGAGGAACGCAAAAACTGAAAAATGTGATTGCTGATAACACGTTTTTAGACGTCGACCTGATACTCATGCTAAAATGTGCATGCTGTATTTCATCCACTCAAACCACTCATACAACTAACTGAGCGGCGACACTCATAAGTTGTGCACAATTGACAAACAAATTAAAAATGATAGAATGAGCAGTTGTACTTTCCTGAATTGGGTTGCTAATTTTTAAAGTTGTTAAATCCAAATTATGCAACTAACAACCACGCATGAAACAGTATTATGGAAAACGACTAGGCCTACGTACTGAAAATGATCAATAAATTAGACAATCAATTCAATTGATATGTTTCAAATACTGATATTGGCTACGACAATATACTCTGACACCTACCAGCTAGCCTAGGTTCAGGTGATTTAACGACACGCATGTTTCAAACATAAAATGATTGTAGTAGACATTATAATAACATCACTGACACTGGCATGCAGATACTATAGTAGCGGAGCACCCATACATATAGGATGAGGGAATTTTTTTGCTGGACTTCTTGCTAAAGTACCCCCCCCCCCATCCCATAGTGCACTGCAGTTTTTTCCATTTTTCTATTGTTTCAATCGTTCCAATTATTTCACTTGTTGCGAAAGTTATATATATATGCGTGTGTGCACGCAGGCGTATGTGCGTGTGTGCGTGCATGCGTGCGTGCGTGCGTGCGTGCTGTTGCCGCACATGTGTGTACGAGGTGTGCGGCATATGTATTATAGTATAAATATTTATATATTATATATAATTAGGTGTGTAGTGTGGTATAATAAACCCCAATCAATTGTGTATTAATAATTGACACTGGCATTTAAGTGTAACGTAGACCTTACGTAGTAACACTCTCTTATTGTCGTGTAACAATTGTACGCATCTTAAATTTATTGCGAGTCCGCTGCTATAGGCTTGCCATATATATAAATATTATTATAATTACCTATAATGCTAATAATATATTGTAGCAGTAAACATCATGAATTGCAGGTTTAAAATATACCAGTGATGTACGTACATTGGTGATCTATAATGTGAAACTGCGGGCAAAATGCATTATTAACATATTTTGTAACAATTTAATGTCACCCTGAGTGGATTAAATTGTAAAATTTCCGCACATATGTATATGGAGTTATGCTAGACATTTAAGTAAGCTTATAATATGACAAATACGGACAGTTATAATGGCAGATGGACGATTAACATACTTATATTAACAGTTTAATGGTACATCTGTGCATTTAAATGCGAAAATGTCCGAACATGTATGCTGATGTATGATGTTAGGGTCACAATTTAAAGTACTGTTGGCAAATATGAGACAGCTAGTTATACATAATTACAGGAGTCTATCAATATTGATAGACTCCTGATCGATAATGGCATGATTAATACCATTTACAGGTAATTTTTTCCAAATTCTGAATTATTTTAGTATCTAGAGTTTAGATTGGCAATGGTAACAATCTATGGTGAGCTGTGGTACAAACTAACGATATGGAGTGTAGTTTAGTAGTGCAATTAGAAGTACTGTCGGTTTTGTTACGTGTGCTGGTGTTTCCAAGATTTTAGCACTCCATACTGCTGTGGGTATATAATGGCTGTACAGATTCATATCTACATATGCTAGTAGGGCCACGCTGGTGCCCAGGAAAAGAAGATAGCTCACAAGGTAATTTACTGTACACCGTGTCAAGTAACGGAATTGTACTGTAACTGAATCACGGTTCTATTTTCTACAACCTCCTGAACTGTATAAGGCTGAGGATGGAAGTTGTCTGAAGCTGGACTGTTTGGTGTTATGATTAATACTGATACCAATTAGAGGTGTGATATATCAGCGCTCTAAGATTGGACATGTGCCGTATTCAAATTCAATTTCAACGACAGATGTACATAGTGAAAGTATAATGCAGATTTGAAGTGGCTTATTTTTTATATTAGTATACTCTGATAGTATATACCAATTTTGTAAATAATAGTTTATTTGTTATCATACTTATATATATTTTAGATACTGTTAGTCAAAACATCAGCTTTAGCCTACATTCCTCTTTTGAATTTACAAATTGCACCTTTTATGGATCCAGAATGGTTGCTTGTCAACATAGCCTGAAAATGCAGGAAATTGCCCATTTCCGAGGCTCTACATTTTCAAATTTTCCCCAGACCCACCCCCCCCGCATCGGCTACAATATTTCTGCAGTGGCACTTTTGGAGGCACTATGGGCCCTGCATTAAACCTGGCACATGAAAAACCCGTCAGCAATCAATACTACATTAATAGATAGCTCGCTGCCAATACTCCCACCGTTCCCCCCATTAAGGCAAGACACACTGCAGCCGGACAGCGACGACCGTAACGACAACGACAAGCTCGCGGCGACTGGCGCAGCCACACCTGCAGCGACAAGTAGCATTTATAATATAACGTAAACAATAATCACGTCTGATGGCGCCGCAGCTTGCATGTTTTGCCGTTGAGTGGGTTCGCCGGCTCCACTGTTTATGACAGCGGTGCGAGTTTAGCCGCATCGGGACCAGTCTATTCCTGCTAGCATTTGGTTATAATTTTATGACGTATTGGCAATGTCACGTCGCCGATGGAAACGGCTGGATTGGCGATTTGTAAAGTCGGGCAGCCATTCAAGACGGAGATTGACGCTGAGGAATGCGTACTGCCTTGTCGCGGCGGGAAAGTCACTGGGAAATAGCAACAGTTTTCTAAATTTTTTGTCGTCGGCAGCGTTGTCGCCCGCGGCGGTTCGTCTGTCGGTCAGTGTGCAAATGGCTCATTAGCGACAATTACGTTTCTAATATTTTCTGAAAAGTCGTTTCGTCGTTACGCGTCGGTCCAGCTGTTCGCTGCAGTGTGGTTGGCCTTATTAGTCTGTGAGTTCGCGTCTCATCGTCACTCAGGTGGACGGCACAGTTGCCCGACTTCGGCGTGGCGGACACCCCCCTCTCTCCACGACGGATGCTAACGTTATGCGTCTTTGTCATGGCAGCAGGAGGCACGTACGAGATGTCTCCACGCGGGAGCTGGTCAGCGGGTACGAGTCACAGGAC